AATAAGAAATGCATACTTAGAAACAATTGTGGATATTTGAATAGTTAGCACATTTTTTACAATTTGGGGGACAATCTTGTATTTATTTGTATTCAATTTCCACCAAAATAATGTCAAAAGGCTCATTGGTCAAATCTTCAAAAGGACTATTAATTTAAGTAATCCACCAAATCATTCTAGCAATTAACAGTAAAATTTACAAACTAATCTAAAATGTAAATAATTCATTGAATGATCTGACCAGGAAGTTTAGATATTGAATTTAATTTGGTTATATCCAATATGAATTTATATTTAGTTTTAATTGGGTTGGATAAAATATAAATTAATTTATTTTTAAATTTTTTGTAAACAGTTTGTAAAGATTGAAATCTAAACTAAACTACTTTGAAACAGTTTGATTCAATTTAAAATCCAAACGTTGATGGATCAATGTGACCTAAACCGATGATTTCAAAAAAGCGGTTTCGACTTTATTTTACGGTTTGACGATTTCGTTGTTCAGCCTTAGTGAAAAGGTGAAGGGATGACTGCTGGATGAATGACTTGTGGCCACATCTCAATGGTCGACACATCATCCTCATAAGCGTCACCTCTGTTGTTCTTGGTTGAGGTGGAATTAAATAATTTTGAAAAGTTATTACCCTGTGGCCTAGTCCGACATGTAAAAAGTAAATTGACAAGTTAAATTTAAGACGTCTCTTGGATGAGACAAAACTATGGAAGATACATAGTGAAACAAAGTTTTTTTACTTTGGAAGTTGGGTGCAGCAGATTGTAGCACCTCGCTTTGAATATGGAGGTGACCTTTACATGGCACTTCGAATTCCTTACTTGATGGCCTCGATTAGGCTAGATAAGCAAAGTGAACTAGAATGCGGGCATTAGGTGATTTCTTGCTATTTTCCTAGCTGGTTGCCGTGTGACCATTGATAGGAGACTCGCAGGATGAGACATAACAATTTTTAAAATACAATATTTCAAATATATTTGCATTATTGTATTTTTGTAATTTTGTAAATAATCAAACTTTGCTTCCACGGGATTTGGATTCTTGACTCTGCCACTTGTTAACTAAAGTCTCAAAGTATACACTTTGACATGAAAGTTTCTTATGACCGTAAGAGGCACATCTGTCGCGAGTTAAGAAAAATTTTCTTTCATGATATATTTTGTAAGAGGATTACAAAATAATGATGCAATATTTAAAAAAATACATAAAAATTACTGTTTAGTTTCTTCTAATACTCATTTCAAACATGGAGTCTTTTTGTCTCATCATTTTCCCTAGTAGGTAAAGAAAAATTTTCCAATTATAAATATATTCAAACCACACTTTTTAATAATTAGACCACATTTTTATTACAAGATAGTTTTATAGCCTTTGCACATTTTCACATTTATGTCTTAAATTTTTTTTTTTTTTGTCTCATTCTTAGGCCCTGTTTGGTCCACATTATTTTTTTATTTTCATTCTTCTACTCATTTTCAACCACACATTCTTTAATAAAATAATATTTTTCATCACATCAATAACTTTTCCTTCTTTTTAAACCACATATTACTCATCACATCAACAGTAAAAATGCATTCTTATTTTCAAAATGTGCGTCAAACGGAGGCTTAATCTCAAATTGAAATGCTAAAAATAAGATACGACGAAAAAAAGTTAAGAACATAAGTGTGATAATGAATAAAGGTCAATGATGTTTAATGTAATTACAATGTGGTATGAATATAATCACCTTATAAATGGTTACTAATCTTAAAATAAAAATCAATTATGGATAGAGCGAAAGTGGTATGCTTGTCCTAACGAGGTATGCATGTCTCAATAAATTTGGATTTAAAGTTTCCATGGATTTCAAATCTAGTAAGTCGACAATACGAGGTTTTGAACAAACAACGTTAATTTGAAACAAATTTTTACACTATTTCAAAAATATAGTACGGTATAATTCATGATTTCCTAAAGATTTGATGGATACATTTTTTCTAACAAGACAACGACCAAAGACGGAGACACAATATTCAAATGACTCGAATTTGTCAAATGTTTCATAATGTTTATAATTGAAATGTTGCTGTATGATGTGTGGTTTGAAAGCATCCAAACAAGTTCTATGGATTATGTAGAATTGTACAATTCCTCCAATCAAAACATAGTCACATACACTCAATTATTACATGCCTAATCACTACTTAATACAAATATCATGAGAGAAATGTAGCACTGGTCATGGCATCTAGAATTTAACCCCCAACATGTTGAATGACTTTTTAATAGGAGATGAGACTCAAAATCTTTTTAAAGGTTAGGGATGGCAAAATGTCGTGTCTCGTCCCTCTTTGAGTGGGATGATCATTTCCCAGGAATTGAGACGGGATGAGGAATATCATGTCCCGATTCTTAATTTTCATTTTGTATTTAAATTTAAATGTAATTTAAAAAAATAGATGATAAATAAATAAATGGAGAATGGAGCGAAAATGAGGATGTTTTAGTTGCATCCCCGTTCCGCCTTGTTCCCACTCTTTTTGAAGACCTCGTTGGATTTTACAGTAAAAAAAAAAAAAAGTAATAGATTATAAACTCGATAACTTCTATTTTCTACTTAGTTACACGAATTAATTTTTCTACTTTATTTCATCTTGTTATATTTAAACAAAGATACAATAATTCGATTTTGTTTGCTTTATAAAGAAAATAGGCCTATTCTCCATAAAATTCTTTCATGATTCGTCACTAACACTACACTCGAGATTCAATACAATAGATTGCTACTAGTGCATCCATAGTAAATGATACATCGATATATTTGCAAAGAAATCAAGTATCATTTATTGTGAATAAAGTTATTTAAAACAAACTATTTATAAATGTTGATTATCAAAATATTTTGCCGTATAAAATTTGAAATTTTATTAACCCACCTTTTGTTCTTTCACCACCATGTAGGGGTATTAAATAGGACGAATCGAGTTGGCTTGCAATCCACTTGCAACTCGACTCTTTTTTTATTTTTTAAAGTCGAAAATTGCACCTTTTAGTTAAAATGCGAACCGTTTGAGGGCTAACTCATACGAGCAGCTTACTTGAGTAATTTGTTGATTGGTTCGTTAGTGGGGCAAGTCGGCAAACGCCCCTACCTCTATGGTTATAATTGCCTTGCAGTAGAAAAGTCTTGGGGTGGGTGGGGGGGGGGGGCGTTGGTGGGTGTGCGAGGTGTACCGTGGAGATTAATATGGCAACTTTCTTCTCAAAATGGTCTGAAAAAGCAAGCTAATCAAGTCTAAGAAATAATGAGAAAAGGTTGATATATAATCTTACCCTTTTTTTTTCTACTTTTTATAAAAGCAAAATGAGCCAATGAGTAAACAAAAACATGGAATCTGAAAACTGTATTTGGATGGGGACAAATATGGCTATTTATTTGTTTTGGAATATAGTATTCTTGAAATGTATTATTTTTCTTCCAACTGGAAATCACTTTCAAATAATTTTATTTGAGGATTAAAAAATTTTAAATTTTAAAATGTGATGACAAAATCATCCGTACTAAGCTAAATGTTATTATAATAGTACTCATATTTTAATTCATAATAAATATCATATAATAAAATCCTTTTTGTCCCGACTTGGATTAAAGTAATAAATTAATAATTCAATAAATTTAAAAGAATACTTTTTTTTTTTTTTGAAAATGTCGATGTGGTCTCATTCATTTCATAAATTTACAAATATAATAAATTATGAGATTTTATTTTATTTTATTTTTTACAAAATTGTGGTATAATCCTTAGCTCTGTAGTCATTAGCATCTTTAGATGATTGATACTTATTAATTAATTAATTAGATTAGATTAGATTAGTGAAAAATAATTCATATTTTGTTGGTTAAATGTATGTGTAGTGTACCATAAATGCACTCTATATAGTAATAATTATTAGTTTATTGATAAATCAATAATTTCTTTTAAAAAATAAAGTTTGTGTGGTTCCACATTAGATACTAATATCACCGCATTGGCTAATTACAACCACTAATTAATTTAAGTTGAAATCACATAACATCCATTACTTTTCAACCACACATTATATCAACATTTATTAAAAAAATGATTTTAGTCTAAACCAAACAGAGACATAACTTTATTGGTCATTGACAATTAATTAATTAAAATGAGGAAAAGCAATAAATATTTATGAAATAAATATAATAAAGAACTAAAATAGAGAATTTATTGTAGTGCGTACTATTTAAATTTAGAAATGCTCTTTATTACGCAAATTTAAAGAATCTCTTGAAGCTCTTAGGCCAAAAATAAATTATTTAAATAGAGATGTCAAAATATATCAAGTCGCCTACAATTGTATAGGCGTGCCATACGACTCTTTTGTAGCAAAATAGGAATTTAATCCTGCATGACCATACTGCATCTCTAAATGGTAAAACAAATAAATGAACTTCAATCAGTGTATGGGCTTGGCTTCCAAATTTGCTCTCTTCAGCAAATCACATGGCATTTTAGAACCAAACTGGCTCAAATTTTAGAGAAATGCTACATTAATCACCATTAACAATCTATGAGTAAACAAGGTCACATTGAAGGAACAAAAAACATGGATTCCGACCGCAAATAGAGGCTTCAAACAAAAAGTTGGCCCTCATAGGCCTCAGGGCAGGGCCGCTCTGCTCATTTCGCACTCCCATGACAAAATCTGCTACTAATCAAATGCAATATGCATAATCACAAGCCATGAAATTGATTTATAAGGTTGTGTTTCCAACATACTACTGCAGCCGCCTAGATGAAGTCANATACTACTGCAGCCGCCTAGATGAAATACAAGTCCTAAACCGTTGTAATAAGCCTGCACCAAGACTACAGAAAAGCACGATACTAATCCATGTCTACTTCAACGTTCAAACCTAATCCTTCAACTAGTTGTCTCCAATAATAAGCATTTCGGAGAGACAGTTTCAAATATTCCAAAACTAGTCGACTTTAACATCTTGTGCAGATATGTCATGCAAATCTCCTTTTTGCTCACCATTGCTTTTCAGTCCCTCCCGCAACTGTACCAGATCAACAAGAAGTTTACAAAAAAAAAAAATGATCTCGCAAAATTTATAATTCAGAAGTTGTGAAGAAAAAGTGATTTTTTTTGCAAAAGGTTCGTTTTGGCATAGCTTTTGCTTTTTGTAGAAGAGCTCATGAGGAAGTTTATTATATTTCTAATCAAACAAATCACTTCCAGCAAATTATTAAAACAAGCTCAAAAACAACATTTTAATCTCAAAAATAGCTTGTATCTCTTCAAAAGTCATGCCAAACGGCCCTAAGTAGCTTTGACTATCAAGAAACATGCTATTTGTTAAAATCAATTAATTTTCTTGCGAAGGCAGAGGTTGTCGCCAAAACTTACATTTGAGTTTCTTTTTAACTGGCCAAAATATGTACAGTAAAAATGAGTATAAAAGTTTAATGATCTAGAAACATTTAGAGATTTTTGAAGTTGGCAATCACTAAGATTGCTAGACTTTGCCTGCAGGATGTGTAATCAATATTACGAAATCCCATCCGACCAGTGAATCCCTCACGTTCATTAAAAGCATAGAAATAAGCCCTTAGACGTGGGGAGAGTTATTTACCTGCTGGAGGACTTTCTTTTGATATCGGTATCCCTGGGAGATATAAGCAAAAGAGAAATATTGCATCAGGCGACAATCACTTAGAAGCCAACTGTACCTTCTAATTATAAATGATCTTTTCATATAATCACCTTGTCAGTTCCATACAAGTAATCGCAATAGGTGAATACTGAAGCAAAATTACTTTGGCTTTGTCCTCCAACATAATGATGATAATCATGGTAATCTGGACCACCGTAAAATGGAATATATCTTGTTGGAGTCCAAGGAAAGTCGAACCTGAATTGTGAAGAATAAATGAGAGGAATACAGGATCTGAGTCATCATAAGACAAACAATTTTCGAACATGATAAAGCAGATTCTACATTGTATACTGATATTAAGTCACCAAAAATCCTAGCAAGCTTCAGAATAACTTTCTACAAGAAAAGATTATCTTAGCTTTGGTCAGCTTCACACATACAAAAATCTTTAATTTTGATAAGAAAAAAATCAAGATAAGGATATTCTCTCCAACTAGGTACAGTGGCCAAACCCTTTAATATTGAGGCATATAGAGTAATTTATTTTCTTCTAAAATTCATCTTCCTGTTTGTAGTCATGTTGTTTCAATAGCATATATAAAATTGTCAAAGTCTGGCTGTGGTATCTAACACAATATGTACATGAATCCATCACACAACACTGTTCAACCGAGGAAAAAACTGGTTCATTTAGAACCTTTTAAGTAATTACAAGCAAAACAAAAGGAGAGAATTTTATCAATTTCGGAACTGTAAGATTGCATTCTAGGTAGCAGGAATTTTGCAGATAGCTTCTCCTTCTACAGTTTCTAAATTAGATACCCCTTTCATTCAAATATACACCATTTCAACACATTCATATATATATATATAATCAACATTTTCCAACAAAAAGAAACAAGGGGAAACTGGACAAGATAATTGAAACTAAATCGGCCCAATTCTGAACTCACCATAGTTAATAAAACATAATATAAGGAGTGCAGCAACACCCACATACATGCCAAGATACAATTAACTAAATTAATTATCCCCACATGAACGCCAAAAGACGTTTAAGTAAATTAATTATTCATTTTTGTTTCCATCATTAGCTCAGTTTTGTAGTTTGAGTTAATGTCCACAAGTTCATGTAAAATTCATTTTACTTATTCCTACATAATGACATGATTTGTCCTCGCTTTCGTTACAACCTAACATAACATGATAGAATGCGGCTCACAAGAGCTCACACGTCATTTAGAAAAGACAGCTTATGGTCAAAATTATGCTAGGTCGCATGAGCAAAAAGAGCAAACCAGGGCAACAACACATAGCCGAGCAGACCAGATACAAACAAAAGCTAGACCACACCTGCACAACGAGTCTTGCAACACTAGCTCAGCGTTAAGAGTACTTCACAACTATGAATAGACAACTGAAACTCACTGATGTAGATAGAGATGAAGTTTAGATAGAATTTTAATATAGAGTTTTCAAATGAAAACTGTCACAAGCTCAGTCTGACAAATTAATGAATACTCTGAGGATGATGGCATAACCAATCAAGCAACCGATAGAGGACATGTGTCCTCTCCCTCCTTTCCAAAAGGTCATCCCTCCAAAGACTAAAAAGGGGAATTCTATTACTCTTTCTCAATCTACACACACTTACACCCCACACTCATATATTTATGTTATTTCACAAAAAGACATCATCTAACTTGACCATCAGAGTTTAATGAGCATCCACCTCCTCTCTCAAACATGATTTTCAGTTATCAAGACAATCATAATAGGAAGAAAATAATCTATCAACTGAGCTGACCCATTCCACTCCAGTCTCGACAATTTTTTTATCAACAGCTTTGACACTGCATAGCTAGCTAAGCTGCTTGAATTAATTAACAAATGATCCCAAGAAGTCACAATTAAATTGTTTGATAAACTGAGATTGATGTGCTATAAGTCTTCCCCTGTATTCTATCCCAACATGGAACTATTGAAAAAAATCATACAAGCAAAATCTCTATTTCAACATCACTCCTTTTAGGAGTAACAAAATGGAAATATTTAACCATTGGAATGCAGATTTATCTCAAATGCACGAGTTTGTATTATTATTTACATACAGTCACATGGATGTATTATTATTTACATAAAACAAAACTGAGCAATAATCCCTTAATGTAAATGTTTATATGTCAATAAACCAAGAGAAATTTTCTTAAAAAGAACCAAAGTAGTGAGGAAAAATGAAAAGTAAAATCTTCTAAATTTTCTTACTACAAAAAGCCTAAACATTTTCATAATCCAAAGTTGTCGTTCTCCTTACTCATTCAAAGTGATATTTCATTAGAAGGGACAAGAATTGTTCCGAGGAAGAAGAGAAGGCTGGGGAGAAATTTGTATTGCAAAAGTGTGTAGCGAACATTTCTTCTCTAGTTTTTGAGGCCTTTGTATGCATACACAGACACAGTAAGAAGTGAGAAAAAGAAATATACATGTACACATGATGGATTGGAGTTTTCCTGTACTGGAGAATCTAACAGGTCAATCCACCCAGTTCTTCTCACTCGACAACTCTACAAACTTTCCAAACTCGCACAACTCAACAATCTCCCAATTCTCCGAACTGTTGGAGTTGGGTGACTTGGTTGAGCTGACCTGCTACTTTGACTAAAAGCCAATTTATTAAGGTAGGAAATGAGACGGATATTATCTATATTCTATATTTCCATAAAAAAGAAGCTATTTTGACCCAAAAAAAAGACCTAAAGAGATGGTATCAAGGACTCTTAAAATAAATTACCCAAAGTAAGATAAAAGAAATGAAGAACAAGAACAAAGGTAACAGAAAGTTCATGCGTCCAGAGAAAACCAAAAACAGAAAAAAGAAATCTTAAAAAAAAAAAAAGGAAGAGGATATCCTCTGATCCCCCTTTACTGAGCACAAAACTTAATATTATTGACAAGGATGATTTGGAAATCTAAAAAGTAAACAGTTCAAAACTTAGTGTTACTATTTAGCCATCATTTGGTCAAATTAGCTAATGCAAGAAGATTAATCACACTTAATCAATCAAAGCTGGAACTTTTTACTAAAATACGGACCACATCAAAGCATGAGCAATATTAAGCATGCGTGCATTACCCGCTGTGAGTCTCAATAGCCTCAATCTGCCTTAGTCCAATCCACAACCAGAAAGTAATAATGTGACCCGGGACGATTGCGGGCCCCATAAACGAGGGGATCCCGAGGAACAAAATTTCCGCCCAGTGAGCATACGGCGCCGCAAACCCAATTGGAGCCGTGTACTCATGATGAACCTTGTGAATCTTCTCGTACCCCCATTTACAATGCAGAAATCTATGGATCCAATAGTTCAAATAATCCTCCACAATGAAATAAACCCCCAATTGTGCTATAATTTCCCATAAAGAAGGCAATGGCAAACTCGTTCTTATCCCTATGATCTTCGTTCATTAAAAAAAAAACCACATTCAACAAAATTAGCAAAATCAAACAGCAAAAAAATGATTTATGGGTTCGATTAAGAAATGGGTACCTTAATAGAGGGATAGGACACGAGTTGAAGAGGTCCCACAACGAGGAAGAACATACGCATGACGGATTTGTAACATCGGAACATATCAGAAACTGAGAGCTTCACTTTGGGTTGAATTTTGTACGATTTGACAGATTCCAAAAAGAAGACTTCAAGAAAGACATAGTAAAGTGGCACAGCAGAGAAAATGACAAAGAGGAAGAGAATGTTGTGGCAGTATAGAACGTAGTCAGATTTGGCGGCAGAGTAATTAAACCAAAGGTTTTCTGCGGCGGTGAGAGATCGTCCTAGGGCGGATTCCGCCTCTTGAACGGTGGCGTAGGGCAACATTGGCGGTGGAGTGATTTGAGAACTGAATGTTTTTGATGTGGTTTTGGTTTCGTTTTCAATTTTGTCAGATAGTTTGTTAATATATGCGGGAAATAAGAGGTGGGGAATATTCAAAAGAAGGTACAGTGCTAATATTTTTATTTTATTTATTTCTACTACGTAATGTCTAAAATTATTGTATGTCCATCATGTGAAAGTTCCATTAAACGTCACATTCTGATTAAACGAGGTAAGAATTTGACCATTTGTAGTGTCAATCTTTCATAGTCCTTTTCATGTAGTGTCATGATTTTTTGGATGCAATACAAGACAATAATTTTTTATCGAGAAAATATAAATATAAAATAATAATTTACAAATAACTATGAAGTAACTCTATCATTTATTTTGTTACTCTTATCAAATTAACTTTCGATCTAACCTAAGTAACAATTTCATTGACGTCACATCTCTCTTCATTTCGACTAGCTGACTAACTTGACATGTGAAAGTTGAATATTTGACAATACAATTTCCCCTTCGTTATCTCTCCCCTTCATTTTCGTTTCCTTGGGTGGCTCTTGAGTACAAGGGAGGGATAAAGAGTGTCGAGATATAGTAGAGGCAAGGAAGAGAGGACAAGTGCATAAAATATTGATTATCATGTCAACATTTTTAAGAGAAATAGATTGAACCCTTATATGTTGATTATAATTTTGATATTTATCCCTTAAGAGGTTGAAGAATGGATAGGGGCGAGACATGAATGAATTAAAGTCTATTATTCTTCAAACAAGATACATGAGATGTATAATGATTCAAGAAATTAGAGTTAGATCAATGTACTAAGAAAACCATTATAGCTTAAAAATTTCCTAAGATTGAAGCTATCAATTACTTATTGGGGGTATTATCCCATAATCTATTAGCATCAAAACCATACTTAAATGTTTATGGCATGTTTGGCAATTTCCAATCCAGCTTTCAATTAGTCCGCAACGAAACATAATTATGTTCTTTTTTGAATGGAAAACTATGTCATGAGGTGTCCCACACTGCACATACTCTGCATTGCTATAGAGTTAAAGCAACTTTTCTTTTTAATGATAAAAGCGTGCTATATTTGCTCAAAAACGTGAATCATGTCTCCAGTTGATGTGATATCAATAATAAGTCTTAGATTAAATTAACATTTTAACTTCGTTTTCTTCTTGATATCAGTCGTTCAGTTATCTCCATTCACATTCCATAATAAGAGAGTTTTTTTTTCCAAGCGAAACATCAAACTTTTCATTCAACTTGATCGTCATGCAGTGATGGAAATGATTAATTGTCCTTTTGATATATTTTTTTTAAGACATCAAATGGATTCGGCATATAACTATCCAAAGACTTGGCTAAAGTACGAATCATCAAGTTATTGATTTAAGGGGTGAGCGTGTGATTCAAAAACAATTTTGGTAATGTACTATTTAACTTGAAAAAGATATATAAATAAATATTGTTATTTTGAAAGTAAGCCCAACCCTCCTTCATTTAGAAAATAAAATTATGAGGACGATCATTGTCAATTTAAAGGACGAGTTAATTGGCTCCCGAGTTAGCTAGCCCAAGTCCATTTCAAGATTACACGTGGAACCCATGACATCAGCACCTCATTGTCTAATCAATCAGGAATCAACGTGATTACTTATGGCCTAAGCCTCATGGTAGGCTGTTTGGCCGATCTTAGCAACCAATCAGAGACCTCTAATCTGGGTGGTGGCACATACTTCGAGGATGGTCAAACACTTGAACAAAAGCCTAAAAATAGGGAAAAATCGTCCCCCTCAAAGTCAAACTAAATGTATGCATCAAATACATTTCAAACATCAATCAATACAATTTGCCCTTCATTTTCATAAAATTTAGCAAATATTCTACTAATTTTTATATTACATTGATCTAAATTTATCACATCATTTTTAATCATTAACAAACATATATTTCCAAGTATTTCTTATAGGAAGTATTTTTAGAATATTGCCCCTTCCTAGATTATTATTGATAGGCATACTTTAAGTTGGTCACTAATGTTTAAAATCTTCCAATGTAATCACTTGAGTTAAGAATTGGTTGTAATTTAATCCCTCCATCCCATTCTGTTTAGGGATAATTGCAGCAAAGGTC